TGAACTGCCTTCCAACCCCATGAAGTAGTCTCAAACCCACAGAACCACTGCTTGGTTCTGTCTACTTACGAAGCACCAACACCGTGCTCACTGTTGTACAAGACACAAAGGAAGACCCTGCTGCTTCCCTGAAGAACTTATATTCTATATAAGCAAAGGAATGCTCAATACAGTCCAAATAGACATGCATACCTACTATGGAATGCCTCCCAGGTTATGCCCTTCATTGCAGGGCTTCATGATTTGGACAGGATATCCAGAGCTCATGCTTGGGCTAGATCACATCTGGACACCTTACTAAAAAAGGCTTGCCTTTCTTTTAATCTGCTTTGTGTTGCAATGACCATACCAAGAGTTAAAGAAGTAAATGGTGCTCTTCTGAGCTCAACAATACTGCTTCTGGTTGGGCAGTAAGAGGAGTTGTTGAACCTCTGAAGGGTTGCCCTCCAACAAGAATTGACTATGTCACCCCCCTGTTAGTCCCTTCCTGGCGTGCAAAATGAGAGAATTGGAATCTCCCACTTGGCAGCACATTTGTGGTCATATAGGTATTGTAGACATACAATAAGTGCTGGGCAAAATTTTCATTTTAGAGTAAAACAGTAGTTCTCAAACTATTGTATTGGTGATCCCTTTCACATAGCAAGCCTCTGAATGCGACCCCCGCCGTATAAATTAAAAACACTTTTTAATATATTTAGCACCATTATAAATGCTGGATGCAAAGCGGGGTTCGGGGTGGAGGCTGCTAGCTCGTGACCCCCCCCCCCCAGGTAATAACTTTGCCACCCCTTGAGGGGTCCCGACCCCCAGTTTGAGAATCCCTGTACTAAAAAAATAAAAATAAAATCAGTCTTCAACTATGAAAATAAAATCCTTCTTTACTCCTTCAAATCCTTTTTTAGAGGCAGTATGGTATAGTAGTTAGAGGTCTAACCACCACAGGATAAGTACTACTAGTGTTCATGTGTGACTGAGACAGCCAGTTTGACTTTCAGAGCCCACGCTGAGTTTGTGGAATGAGTAGTTAAAAATAACTATTTACTTGTGGGTTGTGCAAATTCAATCAAATTAATTGACACAGTAAACATAGAACCTAATGATGCCATTATCATGCACACTTAACTTTTCAAAGCTACCATTAGACAGCTTTGCTTCTTAGCTTTCACCCTGTTTCCAAGTTTTAGTACTTTTTAAGCACATCCAATTTAGAACCCCCTGAAAAACACATCCAGTTTCGTTTTCATTAGTGTTATGAGAATAACAATAAAAGCAAAACATCCTCTGCACTCTGTGTGACTTTATCACACACTCCTTTAAGAAATGTGTGTTATAAAAATAACTGAATTCAGAGGAACTGACACCTACTGAGATTCCGCAAGGTGTCTTCCTTCAGTCCATTTCCTCCCCTCCCCCCATGCTTGCTGGATTATCTTTCAGATGTTTGCAGATCACTGAGCAGATCCAGTGCTTCAGTGTGAAATGTAACTTGCAGGACAGATTTAAAGGCTGAACAATTTTCAGAGATCTGGAGAGAGAGAAGTCCTGCTTTTTTTTTTTTTTGATGAAAAAATGAAGTGAGCTGTAGCTCACGAAAGCTTATGCTCAAATAAATTGGTTAGTCTCTTAAACATGCCGTTTGGCTTTGGTCACATCATCCTTGCTATGAATCTTGTCTGAAAAGAAAAGGGATTGTGACTTTGCTCTAGAGAGTACAACTTGTCTGATTTGTTTGGAGGAAAAAATAAGAGTGTCATCTGTGTGATTCACCTTTTTGAAGTGGACTAGTTGTTGGTGCCGATCCTACATAGCCATATGACCGTTTGAGTTCCTGCCCTTCCTTGAAACCTCAACAACAATCCCTTTAGAGGGGTAGAAACTAAACACAGCTCTAAGGAGATTCACTTAAAATCTGAGAGAACCCAAATCTACGGCTACTTGTGAAATGCTTAAGATCACATTGTGGTATGAACTAACCAAGATCTGCTTATTTTTCTTGCACTGGTCGTCAGAGATCCCTCACTTTTTCCCTTTGTTCTCTACCCCTACCCCACTAGGCTTCACATTGCAGTCAGCGGGGTTAGATGTGTGTTTGTTCCCTAGCTAGTCGTTACATTTCTCTGGAGTCAGCCAGAGTGGCTTACTAGCATGAAACTGAAAAAAGGAGGAGTCCTTGTGGCATCTTAGAGACTAACAAATCAAATAAATGTGTTCATCTCTAAGGTGCCACAAGGACTCCTGGTTGGTTTTGCTGATACAGACTCACACGGCTACAGCTTTCCCCTCTGAAAGCTGTTAGGATGAAACTGAAGTCTCCCAGTTGCTGTGGGCTCAGAGCTGGGGACCCAAATTCTGGTCTTCTGCCTGGCAGCACGTTGCATGCACCCCACACCGTTGGGCATGCCTTCATTATTTTAGTGACAGAAGCAGTCACCGCTGTACATAGTTGCAATTTGTGTTTGAGCTACTAGAACCTGGTGCCTGCTTGGCCAGCTGCCAGGGTCGGCCAGCTCTCACTCCTGATGAAATAATGATGGTTATAATTAAACTCAGGCAGCAGTTTGAGTAGTTAAAAAGTAACATTTCCCTTCTCTTGTATGAACACGCTATACCTGTGTGAAATGCCTCGTTGACTTCTTGCCCTTTAAAATATTTTTAATTACCTCAAGATCTTGATTTTTAAAATCTACATATTTGAATTTGAAAAAATGCAGCATCTCTTAAAACTGATTAATCACCAGGAGGTAAACCTCTTCCAACACCTGCTAAATCCTAAGCGAGAGCAGTTGTGAAAGCAAACAGTAGCTGCTCAAAACTGACCCCCTCCTATCTCCCCCATGCCACAAGACGAAGTGTGGCAGTGGGGATGGAGGGGTGACGAAGAAGCCTTTAACCCATCCTGTCTGCCTACTGCCAACGGCCTATTTTCTGCCCCTAAAGGTTTCTGCCTAACAAATGGTGTTTCTTTTTTACAGCATTTTGATCCTGGACTTGTTGTGGTGATGGTAAACTTAGCAGTGGTAATTTTTTATTTTCAGACTGAATTACTCCTTTTGTCATCAGTGCACCAATATGTTAGGCTTACTTTCTCTGTTGTAGCCTTCATCCTTCTGCTTGGTCTTTCATTTCCTTTCCTTTCTTTATGCACACTTGTCTGATCCTTGTTCATTAAAGGGTATTGCTAAGAAGGGATGTTTCTGTTTGTGTTAGAACTGCCAAAAATCAGTTTAAACATAAAATTCTAATACTGTCCAAACTTGATTTTCCCCAACATGATGGGCACTAGCACTTGCTACTGCAATTTATGAATTTTAAAAACTTTGACTGCCTTAGAAGGCAAAAGTACTGACTCATTGTTTGTATACAGGGGTTTACCAAGGTAATGAGCTTGCATATAAAGATTGATTCTTGCAGAAACAAAACAAAAACTGGAAAACAAAACAAAATAAATTCTTTTTGCACTTGTTCTCAATCATTCTATTGGGTCTACCTTTTACCAGTAAATCCCTGGCTGAGACGTTATGAAAGTGATATTGCACCTAGGAAGTCATTTTTATAACCTGTCTTTAATTTGGTCCTTTTGCTAAAGATTGCAGTCACTGCTTACTTATTATACCATTGGGCGTAAGAGAAACTTAATCCGGGTGAAAATTTTACTGTTAATACCTACATGAAAGCTAAATAGCTAAAAGCTGTTTTGGGTTGGCTGAGCTGGCTTAATAAATATTTTTATCTTTGGACTTGTTACGTGCCCAACTAAACGATCTCTGGGCATATGTACAAAAATATAAAAATGCAGTTGTTATAAATATAAAACTAAATACATGTCTGAAGTGGAAATTAATCGTACTTATTTCCTAGTTTAATTATTAAAAATACACCTGTCTTTAACAATCCTTAGGATCTCCTTGATGTCCCTGTGGAGTTGGAGGTCCATGGATTAATAGTTTTTGAAGGAGCTAGAAAGAGTTTCCCTTGGAGAACAGAGAAACTTGATGTAAATCAGAGGCTTTTCTGATGTGGTTTAAGAACTAAGCCTTTTTTGTGCATGTGGATTGAAATAGTGTCTTAATTTTGGCATGATTAAAACTAGATCTTTTAGCCCAAAGGTATAATATATGTGTATATGTGTGTATAACAAAACAATTGTTTACACCAACCCAAGAATAATAATAAGGGAAGTAAACATTCTGTTTTTTTACTCAAGGTATGCACCGGATAAGGTAAGTACTTCTCAGTGGGCTTACATCACAACAAACAGTGCAAGTTGTGATGTAAAAAAGCTGTGGTAGTAAAGTGCTTGTCTGCCCCATTTTGCTTTGTTTGGCTGGTTATGAGTGGATTAAAGATATGTAAAAATCTCCAGCATAGTTTGATTAGTTCAAAGTCAATTTTCTTCGCAACTAGTCCTTTTCACAGCTTACAGGTTACACAGTAAGTAATAGAGCGGTTCTTGGTGGGAACGTTAGGAAGCAAGTTGTGATTAAATACCTGTTCTGGAACTAGTGCTCATTTTTTCATGAGAGAATTCTGGCCTACCCATGGCATCAGTTCATTTTTTTTTAATTAATAAGATGCAAAACTTGGGAAACTAATGAGTTGTACAATAAAACATGTTTGGTACTTGTTTTTCCACTGAGGGGTCAGAAGATCAGGGTTATGATCGAATAGTGTGAGGGTAATGAGAAAAGATCCTTTTAATCTCCTGGTGCCAGGACTTGGCAATGTTGAACATTAACCAGTTATGCAAAATGTACTTGTGGTTAATGTTCTGAGATTATAAGCACCAAAGGTCTAATGAGTACAGTTAACCTTAACAGGTTTGGAGCTGAGAGAAGCAGGTTTGGATGTAAGCTGTGAGAATGGCTTGTGTTTGGTTCACTGTAGCTTTCTGGTCTCTGCACTCAAAGGCAAGATCTCTAACCACCCAAACCTAATGTGTAAAGTGAGCTGTTGGAGCAGACTTGGCCTCTCACCTTGTTTGTGTGTTTCTGTTACAGGTAGAACAGATCCCATCCCTATCGTCGTCAAGTATGATGTCATGGGCATGGGCCGGATGGAAATGGAGGTAAGTTGATCCTGATCCATCTTATTCTAAAATGCATTGCTTAATTTACATTGGGTCCAAAAGTGCAATCGGATAATGATGTAAAAGTAAGAACTTTGAGCAGCAAAGCTGGAGAAAAACTTTGCCTTAAATCTGAACTATAGGAAAAGCTTTTCTCCTCAAAACACATACTTCAGTTACCCATGGTTTACTGACTTTTGAGGCCTGGACTCTTTTCTTTAATTCCTTGGCTGTGTGAGTTGGGTTTCCATAAAGCTGAGCCCATTATTGGCAGTGGATGTGCCTGCTGGAAACCAGCAGCATGGAAGGGTTAATGAACTATTTTGTAGGCAATGGGATGGCAAAGCAAGGAAAGTTAAGCACAATACTCACAAAGATTCCGTTTTTAAACACTTGAATAAATGACATTTTCTTGGCTGTTTGGGTACCACCAAGAATTTACGGGAGTAATTGCATATGTTCTTGTTGCTAAGCTTGATTATGCCGAAGATGCCACTGAACGGAGGCGTGTACTGGAGGTGGAGAAAGAAGACACCGAAGAGCTGAGGCAGAAGTATAAGGTACTTAAATGAACACATTGATGCCTGAGTTTCTATGGGCTGAATGGGAGAGACTTAGTTCTGCTAGGACAGAGCAGTCTGGTCATTCAACTCCAGTACTGATGGCACTAGTTAGTTACTCCTTGGTTGTATACAATCATGTGCTTTGCTTCTCTCTTCTTTCTTTAATATGACTGCTGAATGCAGCATTGCCAGTTGAAGGTCCCCTGTTTAGTCACAGAACAGCTACTGCATGGGCAACAGCTATGCAAGTTTCTACAACACTGCCCCCTTCCACTGTGCCTCATCCCTGACCTGGATGGTAAAAAGGAAGTGTCGGTCTCTGTGGCCTATTTAATAGCCCTTAGCTTTCTGCTGAACCTGCCCACAGAGGGCTCATTTGTGCAAAATCAACAGGTGGAGTTCATATTAACATCACTCAACTGGAAAATGGAGTGAGTAGACCTCTTTGTATTGCCTCTGATTCCCTCAATAAATGGAATATCACTGTAATGTTGAATAAATGCTGGTTTTATTAGAAGGCAGCAACCCTGCTCTGGTGTAGAAAAAATTGATTGACTGCATCTACTTAGCAGAATTTTTATATGCTGCCAATATATACAGCATTGTCGTGTCAGTTCTGAAGCAAGAATTTTTCCTGTTATATAGTCTGCAAAAGCCTGTGTTTAGCAAGCCAATGCGCTGCTGTGTTTTTTAATAATAAAATTAGGCTACCCTACTGGCACTGAACATGCTCCATTGCAGTGTATCTGGGTTCAGGACCAACAACTGACTTTCCTGTTTTGAGACCAATGGAGAGTGTATTGTCTCCAGGGTATTGGCTGGTAAGCAGAAGAAGGGATATGGAACAGTGCGTTTCCTGTGAAACACATTAAATCTTGGGAAAACTTGCTCATTCAGCTGTCCGGGGGCGTCTGAGGTGATAAGGATGAAGAAAAGTAGCAAGATACTAGATTTAAGGCATCCATTTTACCTAAAGTTTCATGCTTTTGGGAGTGGTGGACAGAGTTCCAACTGCATTAAAGTAAAACAAAGCCATGTCAATTATAAAATACTTGCCACTTCATTGGTGAGATAGGTGGAACTGAAAGCAGTTTATTCAACAGTAATACCTGTATGCTCCCTCTTACTTTGTTTTTTCTTTATTAATTAAGACCGTAACTTGCCTGTTACATGAACTTCTGTGATATTTGCCGTTTATTTTTATAATGATCATGTTAATTATTTCTGAAAATTACCCCTTAGTTTTGAACTGAAGTGCAGTTAAACAGGTCTTTCGTCATATTTAAAAGGATAGTATGTTTTTAAATGGTCATTTGCAGATTATAGTAAACAGTACATTTCCATATGTCCCTTTGGCACATTTCTACTTTAATATAGTCAAAATGTGTCTTTCATTTTGGTGTGGCATACTGTCCGACAAACCATTCACACACTGCAGAAGGAGTGAGGCTTTAGTTCTGACATTAGCTGTTAGAAAGCAATGTGTGACTAAAAGCTGGAATTTGTTTTCCTTGGTCGTGGTTTCCCTACAATATACCCCAAGCTGTGCTGCCAAGGATCTGTAGGCAACAACAGCTGAAGGCTATAATTTATATCTGCATTACATATTGGTGGGCAGGAAGCCCTTCTTCTCTTTTGTGAATTGTGTAATGTCTTGTCTTATTCTGCATTGCTGTTTTTATAGCAGAGTTCTTAGAGTTTTTCCGATTACCTTTTCAAATGCAATTGAATGTGTGTATTGTTTTTACAACTGAATGTGTATTGCCTTTGTAACTCTTTTTTAAATCTATCTTTTTGCCAGCATTCAGAGCACGTTCTTTAAGAAACTGTTATTGAGAGCACTGACAAGTTTCTCCCAACACAGATTTGTTTTATTAGCATGCTTTATCACTAGGCTATTGCATTTCTGTATTAATCTATGGAAGTCTCCCCGAGCACAATTATTTCACTGCTTTAGAGCAAGCCATTATGTAATTGCCAACTGTGGCCACGTTATTATTAGCCATTCACGGGGTCTCAAAGGAATTTCAGATAGTTCTCCAACCAAAAGTGAAGCAAGAAACGGTTTAATTTCCTTCCCTGGTGTAGATTCTAAGCAGGACTATTAGAAGTTACATTGTTCGGCCACGGGATGTTCTTTAACCTTTTTAAAGGTTCAGGGGAGGAAATGTGCACATGGTTTCAGAAGCAGAACTTTAAATGCCATTGTTCTCCAAACCTCATGTTGTTTTGCTTTCCTTTTCTAGCATCTTCATACTGAACATTTCTAGACTCAAGCCCTTACTTTTTTCATATCCGTGTCCTTAGATAGTAAACACATTCTTCATATTGAAGCTGTGACTTAAAATAGATTTTTACCTAAATGTTCAAAATCCCTTTAAAAAAAATTGTAATACCTTGTAACAATACGGTCTTAGTGAGGATTTTTTTCCATGTGCTCTAAGAAATATTTGAACTTAATCTTGCATTTTAGAAATATGTCAACCTGTATAATGCTCACCTTTAACAGTTTAAAAAACATAATTCACACATGAGGAGTCAAGACATTAAAAAGCAACTAATTCCTCTTGGAGAAATTCCTAGCCAGTGTATTTAGAAGCATTTTTGCATGTACGCTGGTGGTTTTTCTATTTCCTGTTCTTTAAGGATAGTAGCATGAGGATTCAGAGCTCATCTGCACCAGGTATTTATTCTCTGTAAAGAGTCATAAGCTTGTTTTTAGTGATATCACAACTGGTTTGTGGTAGAAAGAATTGAGGTTACAAATTTAAACTGTAACTTCAGAGGAGCAGCAAGCAGCTGGTGCAGATGAACTCCAAGGGTTCTCGTCTCGAATAAATAAATGCATAATTATAGCACTGCATTAGACTTACTGTAGTTCAGAATGTAGGCTTTCTTTAGAAACCCCTTCTCAGCCTTGAAGTTACAATTTTAACAAATAATCCTTTCAAGCTGAAAGCTGAGCTTTGAGCATATAAAGTGGTTTAAAAATGCTAACTACTCTGAAAAATCTGGCCCTATGCATCTCAAAATGGGCACCCAAATCTTTTATGTATAAGCTGGATAAGTAAAACAGAATGTGTGCGCGCATAAGCACATTGTGGATGCTGTTTTGTAGCTCAGGGTTGAAGGAATGCAAGAATCTATCCACCGATCTGTACTTGATATAAAGAATATCTGGCTTTCTGGTTCTTACAGCTAATGGAGAATCTGTGTCAGCTCAGTAAGTGAAGCTACTGTTTTGTGATGCAACGTTCCTGGTTCAAGTTCATAAATAAATATCAAATGAGGACAAGCCTTCATTTGAATTTTACTGGGTTGCATCCCTCAATCATGGGTCATTTTCTTGACTGGATACACTTACTCGTATAGTACTCTTGCATATAATAATCTTAATATTTCTCACAGATTTTGTGAGAGGATAAAATAATGGAACAACTGGGAAAGGTTGGTGACCACTGCTCACCATGGACGGAACCCAGCATAAATTTTACATGATGTTTTGCACTATGTAAGCCCTAGAAGGCCACATGCATTGCAGGTGCATTGGCTGTAATTTCAGTGGAGCTGTGCCTGCTTATTCCAGTGGTGAATTTGGCCCAGTGTTTCTAATTAAAACTGATTCTTCTGATCCCTTAGATGGTAGTTGCTATCTTGCTGAAAAGTGGATTGTTACCAGGAGTCCTTTGTGAAATCCAATGTCAGTTTGAGTACCAGTCTCTCTTGCGCCCGTGTTAGTTTAAGACATAAGACCTTCACTGTATAGTAATTAATGAAAGTGAACATATACATTAGTTATCTTTCAGAACATGATTAAAGTAAAACTAATTGACAGTCTAGCATACTGCTCCCCAACAGATTGTTATACTAATTTACATTAATGTAAATTTAATGTATTTAAGATACATTATTTTTAAACAGTTAAAAGTAGGATTTCAGTTTTGGAACTGCTAGCAAACCCTAATCTCTGTGGTACTACGGGTTCCTTCTGTATAACAGAAAATCAACCTGAATTTCTTTTTATGCTGGTCAACTTTTTGCAGGTGCCATTTCCCAGGTGCTACAATGCACTTTCACTCTTCAGAGTGCTTATGGTTTGTTTTACCCCAGAGTTTAGTAGTCACCGGGAATATATCAGATATAATAATGTTGCCATTGCATGCTTTATCCTGTAACACAAGGGAAATTTATTCTTCAATATATGTTTGTACAAAAGTTTCCAATCAGCCTTGTTTGAAATAAACTAGGGCTGTCAAGCAATTAAAAAAATTAATCGTGTTTAATCGCACTGCTAAACTATAATAAAATACCATTTATTTAAATAGTTTTGAATGTTTTCTACTTTTTTCAAATATATTGATTTCAGTTACAACACAGAATACAAAGTGTACAGTGCTCACTTTATATTTTTGATTACAAGTATTTGCAGTGTGAAAAAAACAAAAGAAATAGTATTTTTCAGTTCACCTAATAAAAGTACTGTATTGCAATCTCTTTATCATGAAAGTTGAACTTACAAATGTAGAATTATGTACAAAAAAACTGCATTCAAAAATAAAACAATCTAATATTTTAGAGCCTGCGAGTCCACTCAATCCTATTTCTTGTTCAGCCAGTTGCTCAGACAAACAAGTTTGTTTACATTTTCAGGAGATATGGTAAACAAGAAGTGGGCAGCATGTCACCTGAAAGTGAGAACAGGTGTTCGCATGGCACTGTTGTAGCTGGCGTTGCAAGATATTTACAGGCCAGATTTGCAAAAGATTCATATGTCCCTTCATGTTTCAACCACCATTCCAGGGGATATGCGTCCATGCTGATGACGAGTTCTGCTCGATAGCCATCCAAAGCAGTGCGAACCGATGCATGTTCATTTTCATGATTTGAGTCAGATGCCACCAGTAGAAGGTTGATTTTCTTTTTTGGTGCTTCAGGTTCTGTAGTTTCTACATCAGAGTGTTGCTCCTTTAAGACTTCTGAAAGCATGCTCCACATCTCGTCCCTCTCAGATTTTGGAAGGCACTTCAGATTCTTAAACCTTGGGTCGAGAGCTATAGCTATCTTTAGAAATCTCACATTGGTACCTTCTTTGCATTTTGTGAAATCTGTGGTGAAAGTGTTCTTAAAATGAACATCGTGCTGCGTCATCATCTGAGACTGCTATAACATGAAGTATATGGCATAATGTGGATATAACCGAGCAGGGGACGTACAATTCTCCGCCAAGGAGTTCAGTCACAAATTTAATTAATGCATTATTTTTTTAATGAGTGTCATCAGCATAGTGATGGAATGGTGGCCAAAGCATGAAGGGGAATATGAATGTTTAGCACAGGGGTCAGCAACCTGCGGCATGCGAGCTGATTTTTAGTGGCACTCTGCTTCCAGCCGGGGTCCCAGCTGCCGGCCCCACTCAGCCCACTGCCAGTCTGGGGTTCCAGCCGCCAGCCCCTGGCACGCAAAACCTAAAATTACAGTAAATAAATCAAAACTTGGCACACCACTTCTCAAAGATTCCCTGGTTTAGCATATCTGGCATGTAAATATCTTGCAATGCGGGCTACAAAAGTGCCATGCAAATGCCTGTTCTCACTTTCTGGTGACATTGTAAATAAGAGGGCAGCATTATCTCCTGTTAATGTAAACAAACTTGTTTGTCTTAGCGATTGGCTGAGCAAGAAGGACAATTGAGTGGACTTGGAGGCTCTAAGGTTGTACATTGTTTTGTTTTTGAGTGCAGTTATGTAACAAAAAAAAATCTAGCTTTGTAAGTTGCACTTTCATGACAGAAATTGCACTCCAGTACTTGTATGAGGTGAATTGAAAAATACTGTTTCTTTTTTATCATTTTTACAGTGTGAATATTTGTAATCAAAAATAATATACGCTTTGATTTCAGTTACAACACAGAATACAATGTGTATGAAAATGTAGAAAACCATCCAAAATATGTAATCCCTTTCAGTTGGTGGTCTGGTTTTAACAGTGCGATTAAAACCACAACTAATTTTTTTAATCGCGATTAATTATTTTTAGTTAATCACCTGAGTTAACTGCGATTTAATCGACAGCCCTAAAATAAACACTTTCTTCTCAGCTCCTGAAGGGCAAAACTCCTTAAAATCATCTTTGGGTTTGGTATTGCTATTAACGTACCAATTGTAATAATTTGGTTTGTGAAGTAGGATGGGTAGGCCCAGGGTTTTAGGTAGTAACAGACTGGCCTTTCATTTCCAATAGCAGGTCCAGCTCAGAACTACATTTCAGAATAATTACAACAGCCAATTTGGCTAATCATCGAATAACTGGTGTCCAGATCACTGATGTATAGTAGGAAAGCTGCTTTATAGGCTGAACCCAGCAGACCTGGTTGGAGCACCGTGGAGTTAAACCGTGGTCTTTGTGCTGTGAGATTAATTGGCTGGATTAGGATTTGTACTGTGAGAGGAGAGAATGGAACAATGGGACCCAGAGCCTTTTGGCATTATCACAGTACAAAAAATAACCGTCCTTTCTAAGGGGTGGTAACAGTTCACTTAAAATTATATCAACCACAAAAAATCTCCACCACCATTGGGATGTTAAATTCATGTGCATTTGATGGTAGACTGATCTAGCTGGCACGATTGCTGTGCATACATCTTCACTTTAAAAATTCAGTTTCCCCATTATTTCTGGTAAACTGCAGCTACCTGTGCACCTTCTCATGCAGCCGTCACCCTACTGGGGCACAACTTCACTTGTTTTAACTAAATCTAGTGGGCATCCTCATTCCTGGTATAGTTTAATAGAATTTGGTAGAAATACACCAGGGATGAACTTGATCTGCAGGTGTTACTGCATTGCTGTTCTTAGTTTGTGCTTGTACTCATCCTTGTTGAATTACATACCACTTAAGATTAGATAGAAAAGCTCCAGGTATCCCTCAAAACGCAGAGAATGTCAGTACTTGTAGATGGAGTTTTCTGTTCCACAGCAGCGAGATTGATCTTTGGGTGGGTTAAGGAAGTTCAGTCGGCATTTTGGTCTTAGCTTTATGTGAAGTAGCAGCTGCCAGTTTTAAAATTATTTTATTAATTGGCTTGAAAATTTGAATTGCTTTTTTCTCATGTGAGCTCAGCTCATCTGATGCACTTCATTTGTAGCCATAAGGTGGGTTTATTAAATAGTTGTACTAAACATTTTGTCAGTCTCCAGCTACAGAACCACACATTCTAGATTGTAAATTCTCAGTGAAGGTGCTGTTCTGTACGGTTGTGACCACTTAACAAATGCATTAGTTATAAGAATACTGTTTTCTGATGTAGAACATGTAAAGGCCAGATTTAAAAAAAAGAAATTATAATTAAATTTCTCACAACACTCACATATATTTTAGTTTGTAGGAGAACATGGGTGTATCATTAAGTTGCTCTAAAACAATGTTTATATTTTAACCAGTGTCATGTTAAGGTTTCCATACGAAGGCTTTTTTCCTTAATGGAATTGTTCAGTTTCACTGATTATTTTACAGGAACTTAACGGTACTGACTTTCATTAATATTGCAGGATTATGTCGACAAAGAAAAGGCAATTGCCAAGGCCCTGGAAGACCTCCGAGCAAACTTTTACTGTGAACTCTGTGACAAGCAGTATCAAAAACATCAAGAGTTTGACAACCACATAAACTCTTATGACCATGCTCATAAACAGGTAAACAGCTGCTGTCACTGCAGATAAGCACCATGATATTCTCATTACAGAGCCCTTGCGTGTTAATATCTTGAATGTCCCTATATCCCCAGGAGAAGCCTCTTGCTGCTCTTGGTTGAGATGTGTTCTATTGTCAGCAATGGAATACTCATTGAAAGTAATGTATCTGCTGGCATCAAGGGGTTAAGCTTTGAACTAACCATGTTCAGGAGCAGGCTGCAGTCAGACTGAAAAGGAGATTAGGTGTGTATGGATGGTTCCCACTTAATTCATCAATGCTTTGAAATGAGCACTGCGGCATCTGAGGCCCAAGTAATAGGCCCTATGGTGAATTCTAATAACTGGGATATCTGGCTTCACATACTAGACTGCAAATGGAATAGAGAACTGTGAATCTGGCCAACATAATAGATTTTATTAAAAGAATGGCCTTTGCAGCAAGAAAAAAGTCATTAGGAGTAATATCCGAGTCCTGTAACTCCATTGAGTTGGCCAGTTCTAAAAAATTTTCTGTTGAAACAGACTGAATTTCAAAAGGTGGCCTCTGTTGTGATATCTATAGACATCTTGCTTTATGTTCATTACTAAAAGTTCAGGCCTCTGACTTAGTCTGTTCAGACACTTTAGACCAGTTGTTTTCAAACTTTTTGTATTGGTGACCCCTTTCACACAGCAAGCTTCTGAGTGTGGACCCCCCCCACATTAAAAATGGGAGGGGTAATTTAATTTAATGGCGTCTGGGAGCTGATAGCTTGCAACCCCCATGTAATCACCTTGTGACCCACTGAGGGGTCATGACCTCCAGTTTGAGAACCCCTGCTTTAGACCGATTGAGTTTTAGGCATTACATAACTTTCTGTTTTAAATGTGTGTCTATAGCTAGACCGGGTGGGTGAGGTAATATCTTGAATTGGACCAACTTCTGTTGGTGAAAGAGACGCTGAAGAAGAGCTCTGTGTAGCTCGAAAGCCTGTCTCACCAACAGAAGTTGGTCCAATAAAGCTATTATCTCACCCACCTTCTCTCTGCAATATACTGGGACCAACACGGCTACAACAGCGCTGTCTATAGATATCACTTCTCAGAGAGAAGGGATTTTGGTCTTCTGTAATATTACATCTAATAGAACCTCATTAATTTGTGCTGATGACTGGGGGAAGTATTGTGCATTACTGACTTTTGTAAAACAGGAAGTGAGCAACAAATCCAATTTTAAAACCAAGGAGAATGCATCACAAAATATACTTTGTTCATTTAAGTGTAGAATTTGATACTAAATAAATTCAGTATTTTTTAAAAGTAATAAAGTCTTAATAATATGAGACCTCACTATAGCACTCCTCAATTCTCCAAAAACAATAGTGCAATGAATTATGAGGTTTACAGACTAGCAAAGTACAAATTAGTGAGTTTCTATGGAATTATGGAAAACCGTTATACAATGGCTATTTAGACTAAGTTGATGGACACATTAGACTGCTAATGATGGAGTTGATTCAACCTTCTGATTTAATATGGTTTGGACTTTTCATCGGTTTGGCTGAAATTTGAGTGCATGGCAACAGGGAGGGCCTCTTTAATACCATATCTTTCAGTGTGATGATATATTAATGGCAGCTCTTGATAAGTGTATCTGTGCAATTAACAACAATGCTCAGTGGTTTGAGCATTGGCCTACTAAACCCAGGGTTGTGAGTTCAATCCTTGAGGGGGCCGTTTAGGGATCTGGGCCAAAAATTGGGGACTGGTCCTGCTCTGAGCAGGGGGTTAGACTAGATGACCTCCTGAGGTCCCTTCCAACCCAGATATTCTATGAACCTGTGATCTACAGGAGAGTGACTGAATTGATAGTGTATGTTTCAGCCACTGCTTAGAGAGGCTTATAAAGGAAAAACTGACCTGCAGAGCACGGGCCAACCTCATGCTGGTGGAAGAACTGTCCACCACTAGTTCCCGAGAACAGGGTGGCAGAATTAAAAGCTGCTTGGGGAAAACTTTATGCTGGCACAGTCTTCTCATCCGTACAAATAGATTTCTGCTTTTGGTGAAAAACTGTTGGTGGTGGCCATCTGAATGGATACCACCACTGGGTAATTGCAGCTGTTACACCAGTATTGAATGAGTCCTGGAGCTCGTGAGCCGCCAGATTTTTTTTTTTTATGGGAAATCATCCAATAAACAGTTCAGGAAGTAGTCTATAGAAAGTTAAAGGCAGAAGAAATCAAGCTGCATTTAGGAGTTTGGCCTGTGCAGTGTTACGGTGCAGGTGGTCTTGCTAAGAAGATCTGAGTTTAGCAGCAAATCTGAAACTGCCTGGGAATAAGTGAAATAGAATCTTGCAGTAGAGAACTGTATCTTAGTATGTCCCATTGCCTTTACTAATTACAATTGAAGGTAGGGTCACTTCTGAGGGACAGATATATCCTTTTTATGAGGATAGCTTTTAAAATACTAGTGTAGTTTCGATGCCAGACAATAAAAGGTATATTGACTGTTCAGATTTCCTAGAATCATCTTTGATCAGTGAAGGAAGCAGTGATGTGAAGAAGACAAAAGCAAATATTCTTCTTGAGCATTGACTTATGCAAGTAGTTATTAAGGTTAGTTAATTAGCCCAAAAGGAGGACTAGTGTGCTAAAGTAAACCAAGTGCAAGTTGTTCTGCATAACCTTTAGTTGAAGTTGAAAATTTTTAAAAAGCTCTCCCATTTTCTAGAATATTTTTCCTTAGTTATGCAGCCTCTTCATGGAAAAGGCAGCAGTAATGGTTACCTTCCAAAGAAATAATGAAGGTGGATTAGAGAGGACATTTTAGAAGTGAGTTGACTTTTTATTATCTAATTCTATACAGTAGAGAGATTCCAACAGGAAAAGAGAAGATACAGTTAAGGTGAATCACCTTCTGCCTATTGCCAGAATGTATCGGGGACTGAGATTAAATAAAGCACTTGCAGACTTGATTTCCTAATTCATACTTGCTTTGGATCATCTTTCTTCTCAACTAAAACTTGAGTATGACATAGGCTGGGAACTTGTATTTCCCATTTGGCTTTATTGCTGGGGAATACAAGACCCCACAACATCCTTAGTGATAAATATACCAAACCTCTGTAGTCACTGGAGTTTGGTGTGCTTGGCAATAGTGATCCGATACAGATGTGTGAGAGGGAGAAATTCTTAAGACAATAACTTCAGTTTACATTTTCCATAGCATATTACTTGTCAAGAGTAAATTTCCTTTGAGAATAGTCTTTGCTTTTAAATACTTTAAAATGGCAGTTTGCTTATTTCTAAAACTGCTCAGTGGACATTACTTTATCCCTATTAAATAGATCTTCCATCCCTACATCTCCTTCTATCCCCAAGATATAAAGACACTGTCTTGTATTCCAGGAAGGAACTCAAGATTATTGCGAATCAGGGACAATAGGTAAGTGTATGGATCCCTACCCAGTAAATTTTGGACCTGCCACCAAGTTGTCAACATTAAAAGTATAAAGGGAAAGTCCTGGTTATGTTGGTTTGTTAATGGAGGGATATATTTGAGTTCTCCAGCCGCGCTACCAAATTCAAAACACCAGGAATTCTCTTTCTGGAATTTTTCAGATTTTGAATTGTGCATTAAATTGTGAAATACATATTCTTGTGACTGCCAAGACTCATTGGCTGGTTTAATTCTCGAAGTTTTTAACCAGAATATCTGGGAAATAACAATTTTTTGTCCTTAAAAATAAGGTTAACGTTTGAAAATAAGAAGATGTAATGGATGTTTTAAAGAGTATAACCCCATCCTCAGAGTAGTAAATTCCTCTAAGGAAAAACTTGAGGACTACTTATGGCAACTGATATTCATGCAGAAGGGGAAAAATGACTCCAATAAATTAAGCCTTTTTGAGAACATTGAAAGAGCAGTTAAAAAGGGTTAATTTTGCTTTGTGCCATGGAAAGCTACTGTAATTTTAATGGAGATTTCTAAATGAGGGGAGAGCTGTTGGGTTTGACAACCAAACGTTAACTGTTGTGTGAACTGTCCCACCTCTGAAGCTGCAAAAATCCCGATGACAGCCTTTTATTAAAGGTTCAAATTCAAAAAGAAAGTGTAGATAAAGGGAAAACTTTGGTAGCTAGCAGCTGATTTAGTGATATAGAAAAGAACCCCTCCTCACAGTTAATCCCTCAACTCAAATGCATGCCATTAGGCATGTAGAGAGCCCACCAAAGCCCTTGTGTTTTATGGGGGTGGCAGATTTCTCCCTTTCTCTGTGGTGCTACATCAGTCACCTTTGAATTAAACCAGCTCTATGTGGCTTGGAATGATACATGTAGCTTTCCAGCCTCGGCACTCAAATATTCTATATTTACATTAAGAAGCAAAAATGGCCATTCTCCTTTCTTAGGGCCCTATCCCTATTTTAATAAGTCATACAGTATTGATGACCGTCAGATCAGACAGGGATCCTCCATCTTCTGAATTGTGTATTATCATACACTACAGCTTTGCAAAACTCCTGAGCCTGTAACCGTCCTCCTCTTAAATCTTACAGCTTCTGGCTTTTTTTTTTTTTTCTTTAAATCATCCTCTCATTTGACTCCAGGAAGTTTTAAGTTCTGTAACATAGCATTGATCAAATGTTTTCTGAACTTTCCTATCTATATCCATTGCTACTGTGCCAAGAGAGGGAGAAGCACCATTGCACCGCCCAGCAGAAAGGAAAGTGCTCCATGTGTAGCACAGGATAGTTGAGTTTTCCGTGGCAAGTCTTGTCTTCAAATGGGAGCGCCCCAGAATGTTCACATGTGTGAGGATTGCAGATTTACTTGAAATAGAATGCAACTCATGCAACAGTATGATCCGACTAGAGAATCCATCCCTTCCCGGCTACTGTCCTCATCTCTCTGCCAACTGTTATTAAAAAGTACTCTAATTTTATTTAATATATAACAGCAGATACTGGTTTTCTGAACCTTTTACATGAGTTTGTCCTGTATTATATAAGCTGCTGGGAGAGAACTATATGGTCTGTCATTCATTGTGCATACTTCCAGAGATTCTGGATTTCATTTCATAAAAATGAATATAACTTTGCACTTGTTTTTTACACTCATGTAGCAAGACAAGTGTTTTTGCACCAACTTGTGTGTTGGACACGGACATGGTGTGACGGAAGTGGATTCTCATTTCATCTTTGTCTCACTGAAAGCTATTGCCCTTCGCTGATATTCTTAGCATTCACAAAGCAACAAATTCCAGATGTGGCGTAGACTAAGATATAGTTCTGTAGTATGCCCAGAGCAGTGGGGATCCAGTTCTGTTAAATAACTTCCCATGTTATATATGGAATAAGGCAGACACAAGGGGAAGAGCATCAACAAAATAGCCTTCCAAAATGTGCCTTTCTTCATAAAAACTCCTACATCCTCATATTTCAGTTGGTTCTAAGATACTTGTTTCATTTTTAGAGCAGACTGTTACTGCTTTAGTGTTGCCAGAGTCTCTACTTTATAGCATACAACACCGAGCAGCTTCAGGGTATTCTCTTCACTGTGTGAACTCCTCTGTACTTGAGTTCTATCTGAAGACAGATACACACTAAAGACCACGAGTAAACTTTTCTCCTTTCTCCCCACAACTGAGATCTATGCATGATTTTGTTTCAGATTAGCTTTCTCCTTCTGTCCAAAGAGTTCTGAGCTGAAAATACATACTCCGCAGACTCAGCTGTCTTGTACGCTAATAAAATAGGTACCAGATTAAATGGTGTAAAGTGAACTTCAGCCTGGAATGCTTTGGTTACTTAATGGGTCAGAATTCTGGCTTCACTGTTCGTTCTTACATGCTCTACTGAGCAGCTGTTTGTCTTGACTGAGTCTTCCTTATGTGTCTGTGATGGGCATATCTCCAGAGTCTTGTATGTAGCATAAATTTTAAAATCATCCAGGAATGTAGTCTGTTTGAGCTCGAGAAGTCTGTGGGCATATTTTGTAGGAGGGTTGTAAGTTAGTTGCTTTAAATGCCAGCAGCTCATGGCATCATAAGACATACTCCTTTACTTCTTTCTGTGCACCAGATTACTATGGTAACTAGAGAGCTCTAGAAACCCTGTTCTGCAAGCTCCTGAAATCATTGGGAATTTTGCCTTCCATGGGCACAGGATCAAGATCTAAGTCTCTCATGAAAATATTCGCACTGTCCGTCCAAGCTGAGGTTGGTGGCTGTGGATGAAAACACCACCAATCCTATGGGATGAAGCATTTCAGAGTGTTTTGTGATGTTCTCCTCAGTGCAATCTGAGTGCCTTATCCAGCTTAAGTGTCTAAATTCTGGTAAAATTCATTTAAAGGCTTGGAGACTTGGGTGTTTCTTGATTGGCTAGTTTGTGTGATTTTGTGAAAGTGGTCTCTCAGTATAACCATTACTGCATTTTGATTAATAAAGTGGTGAATAATACTCTTGGTTTTCTGGTAACTTTCGTTCTGAAGTAGGTCACTAAATGTATTGCTACTTGGAAAGCATTTCTGCTTCCTAGGAAAACCAGTTCCTCAAGCCATGCCTTTTTTTTTTTTCAGGAAAAAATATTTCCTGATTTCTAAATCCTCTTGCAGCATGAAATTGTAATTTTGGTTTAGTAAAGCTCATAACAGAAAAATCTCTTATTAATCAGTATTTAAGAAAGGAGTGATGTTCTTGTTGATGAGTTTAGGGACCTTAGAATTAGCTGATGAGTATTTGTTTAGGGATTTTAGATGGAAAAATGATTGCTTTAATACAAGGCAGATTATTAAATAGCTTTCTGTGCAAGTTGAGGCCTTGTGTGTTGAAAAATGTAAATTGGCATCCCATAATTGCGGATTCTGCTAGATTTAGGCCTTGATGGTTTTGGTTGTGTCTATCCCAATTGTGTTTGGATCGGTGGGTGGTTTTATTAGTATTGTAATTCCATTGACTGGTCATCCATTGGTGTGTTCATATGTGCTCCTTAGTTCAATTCTGGGCTTGGAAAGGAGGGGCTAATTGTTCTTTCCATGGCAGGACTTTGTATAAGACCACTCCACAAGTTGCTCTGCACTTACCAAACTGCCTATGAACAAGGACTTTTGGATCTTGTGTCCATAATAATCTGTTTTTATAGGTTTGCAAACTGATCTTTTGTTTTTCCATGGTTGTTAACATGTTTCACTTACAAGTAAATTAGCCAGATTTCTTGGCATTTGGCTACTTCCAAACTTTGTTTTTGCTTGAAAAAGAATCTTTCATAGAGCCAGAGAGACTAACTACATAATATTCCTCATTTTATATCTCATTTGGTACAATTCTGAAGAATGATGGTGCAGTGTTGTGTGGGAGAGTTTAAAATGCTAAAGCTAGCAGTTAGATCATCCTTACATCCAGTGAATAAAGTTAATGTGCACTGTTGCTGAATTAAATTGAAGATTAACCTGACCATTGTCTGTTGGTATTAAAGGAATTATGCCTCGTGTCCTGTAGTGCAGTATTCACAGGTCATAATTATCAAGAACATACTGTAAATGAATTTCCCATTGCACTATTATTTACATAGACTTTCTTACTGATTGAGAATAGTTGACAGTACACGGAAGTTTTTATATTGATAATTAGAGTGTCTGGAATACACTATGGATTGGGGCATGTTATGCAGAGTTTATGTAAAATCAGATAATTGTTTTTCTGGAGGTGGGGGATAGCACAGATTTTTGTGGATACAGACTAACACGGCTGCTACTCTGAAACCACAGATTTTAGGACACTGTTGGTTTGGCTCTTGAAAACCGTGTAATTACTGTTGTCCTACGCAAATCACAGGTAAAGATTCAGCTCAGCTATCTCATTCCCTTCCTTTACATAGTCGGCAGCATATTTGTATAGTATAGTGATACTGCACTTCCTAGTGCTTTGCATTGTATTTCTCACTTCAAAATCAAAAGTGGTGTTGTGTGTGGGGGGGAAGAGCAGCGTTGAAGGAAGCATTAATTGTCTAGTTAAACTGTGTGTGTAATGAAAACAAGATTACACTGTGGGCAGCACCACCATATTTAAGCCTGCAACTCTAGTGAGCCTGCATTAAGTTCCAAAGGTGGGTGTTTAAAGCCACATCTGAAGGATGGCAGTGGGTTTCTGGGAGTTCTGCGTTTGCACCCTGCATTTACTCATACAAAGTGAAAAGTTGTAATTCATTTTTATTGTAAATAGCTGGGTCATTTTTTCCCCAAATCGTTGAAAAATCCAGAAACTTGGCATCGAACCCCAGTTAAATTGTTTTGCCAGCTGTTGGTGACTTTTAACTTCCTGGAGCATTTAGATAAGCAGTTTTAATCAGCATGAAAAAGCTGATACCATTGCTTAGCCTGTTCTTCCTCTCGAAAGAAATTTACTATTCATTATTTAACATGTTACCCTTTTCCGCCCTCCCCCAGACCCTAAGCCCTTTTCATCCTGGTCGAAGTAGCAGTTATTCCAGGTGGGATCATTGCTGTGTATGTGTGTGTGTGTGTACATGCATTCCCTTCCTCTTACCCCTGAAACTGAACCTTTTAGCTTTGGTGGATCAGCTCCTTAGTCAATATAATAGTTTGCAGATATACTGAGAGCTTGTGTAGTAATGCTTGCTTTTATTTTTTCTCTTTTCCACTCTTGTTATATTTTTACTTTCTTTTTTCTTTGTGATGTGACATTTTCAGCTGATGTGTTGAAAGCAAATCCTTCTAATTTTGGAGTCCAGATCACAAGAGTGAGTTTCCTTCTACTAGTGTCTGTAGCTGTATTTCTTTTTTTCTTATTTTGTGTGTGTACGCGTGTCCTCCCTTCTGTTTTTGATAAAGCTCAATCACATTTAGTAAATATTATTAGGTAAGAGAATCCCCCCGTCTTGTCAAATCTTCATCTTTTTCACAAAGCAATGTTCACTTTACATTGGGTAAAATCAGTTCCTCAAACTTGATCCGTTTGATCGATTTTCAGATCCTAGCATGTGAAGAATATCTCTGTGCAGTTCTGTTCTAATCAAGAGTCAGCCTTCAGTAAAGGTTATATTTTGAAGTAAACAATTGTTAAATTATAGGCCAAGGTTTTTCAAAAGTGACTACTGATTTTTGAATTCCCCAATTTTTAGGAGCTCAACGTAACACACTTTACAGGGATCTGTTTTTCAGAGGGAGAGTGCTCAGTACTTTCTGAAAATCAGGCCCTTTTAAAGTGTCTCAAATTGGATACCAAAAAACAGGCAGCCAAAATCACTAGTCCCTTTTGAAAATCTTAGCCAGAGCTACTTGTTGTTTTTCTCTGTGGATCAGGACAGCACTCTTAAACTAATTGTGTATTTTTGCAAGCTAATCAGTGGAAAAAGCGTTTTTTCCCTAAGTTTTAAGACTGAGATTTTTCAAAGCTGCCCAATGGATTTGGACACCCAGCCTATTAAAGTTAATGGGCTTTGGGGATCACGCTCTCCTAGGGGCTTTGAAAATTGCTTCCTAGGTTAACTACTTGGACCTAGCTCCGTTTCCCCATTATACCCCAAGCTTCCAGTCCGTGCCTCTCCAGCATCCAGTGCCACTTCTGATTCTCTTTCAGGGGACTTACTAAGAAACTGGCAAAGCCATGCTGCATTCTTGCTAATACTGGAAGTTTTTCCACGCTGTCCAAACACTACATACAGGAAAATGAGTTACTGCTCTTGGTAGAAGGTGTATTCCATTTTGTTGATTAAACTATCACTTTCATAATGAGTTCAGTTCTAGTGTCTCTTTCCGCCCACCCCCCAACTGTAATTTGTACATTGCTTTTCGAGATATGTACCTGGATAATTTTTCTGCACTAGCTAATCCCTTTTCGTTCTTTGGCGCATACTATCAAGACTTCTGTCAAGTATATTTGCACCCTGCAAGAACAGCAGAGTAAAGTCATTTTTTTTTCCTTCCAGAATTTGCTTGTTGCTTTGAAATCAGCTTTATTGTACATGCTAAGGAAAATGTATAAACGCTGATTGGAACTGCAGACATTAGATGTGAAGTAGTAGCCAAAAGTGATCAACAGTTGTCTTTCCATTTAACTACTGGGAGGATGGCAATGTGTTCTGTTTGGCTTGTTGGACTGAGATGCTGTCACTCCGTCTTAGCTCAGTAAATTTTTACTGGTTGGTGGTGGGGTGGGATGACAACACACTTTCCAGTGTTACAGCAGAGAAAAACTTCAATGCACTGATTCACTTGCCATTTTCATCTGATCTCTCTTACCGTCTCTTGCCACAGAGGCTGAAAGATCTCAAGCAAAGGGAATTTGCTCGCAATGTCTCTTCAAGATCGCGTAAAGATGAGAAGAAGCAAGAGAGAGCCCTCCGGCGTCTACACGAACTGGCTGAGCAGAGAAAGCAAGCTGAATGGTGAGTGGTTGAGATCTACGTCCACAGCTAGACAGCACTGAAATGGGTTTTGCCTGAAATAAAAAGGTTACAAAAACTACTGCTTGTAACCTGCACATGGTTTTTGCTGCTGTGCATCTGAGCCCAGTGCGAAGTGATGCATTTGCAAATAGCAAGGCTTGGGCCTCAGCCTTTTTTCCATTGACCTTCAAATGAGTAAATTAATCACTATGCAAAACAGTTGTATTTGTCTTTCATACCAGCCATAACCCACAGCTCTTCATAGTGCTAAAGAATGCAAGACATTGGGCAGTATTGGGTAAAAATGACCCTGAAAAGGGTGTAAAGCCATTATTTTAATATATTTACCATATATTTACTTATGCTAAGAACAGGCCTGGGGGCATTAGAAATTAAGCATTGGCAGGAGAAAGATGATTTAAATCGAGGTATGACACCACCTATAATCATATGTGAATCTCTCTAATCAGCCTTCCCCTCTATTTTAAAACATTCCATAGCGCTCCTGGAAGTGGGCCCATGTTCAAAACGACCACTGTGGCTGTAGATGAAGAAGGTGGTGATGATGATAATGATTCAGCAGCTTACAGCAGTTCTTCCATGCAAACAACTTCTAGCCAGGCCACAGAAATAACCACGGACAGGGGGGTCATTCTGAACACTGGACAAGTCAGCAGCACTGTTCTGTCAGGCCAAATGCCAGTCCAGGCAACACAGGCAATCAGTTTTGGCCTTAAGAATAATTTGGGAACTCCACTGCAGAAGATAGGAGTGTCGTTCTCATTTGCCAAGAAGGCTCCAGTAAAGCTTGAGTCTATAGCGTCTGTTTTCAAGGACCATGTGGAGGAATCTAATCCTGCAGATGGAACAAAAACTGAGGAGAGAGCCTCCTCTGATCAAGGGACTTTGCAGAAGACTGGTGAGGCCGAGCCCACAAATAGTCCTGACAACAGAGTTGAAGATGATGACCAGCACGAAAAAGACAATGGATCTCTTGCCACTACATTATCTAAGTTAAAAAAGATGAGAAGAGAAGATGGACCAGTGCCGCTAGAGCCAGAATATTACCATTATATTCCCCCAGCCCATTGTAAAGTAAAACCTAACTTTCAGTTCCTGCTTTTCATGAAGTCCACAGAGCAAATGGAAGCAGAAAATGCAAGCAAAAAAACAGTGCATGAAAGTAAAAAGAGTAATTCTCCAAAACCCAAAGCTGGCAAGCACACAGAAAAGACAGCTGAGTGCACTGTGCAGCAGAAGGAGCCAAGTACAACTGAACTTACAGATCAGAGAAGCAAAACAGAAGCAAAAGAAATTCCAGAAAATGCAAATGTACAAGAAAGCAAGCAGTCTACAGAAAGCAATCCCCCAGAACAAGACACTACTAAAGAAGCCATTCAGCCTGTCCCTGGTCGTAAAGAAGTCACCGAGGGACCGAAGCATCCAATGGGACCCTTTTTCCCAGTTTTGAGTAAAGATGAAAGCACTACTTTGCAGTGGCCTTCAGAACTTCTGATATTCACCAGGGCAGAGCCATCTGTTTCATACAGTTGTAATCCCTTGTATTTTGATTTTAAGCTGTCACGCAACAAAGATGCTAAAGCAAAAGGAGCAGAAAAACCGAAAGACACATTAGGTCTTTCTAAGGAAAATATACAGTCCACAGAATTTAGTGACATAAGCAAAAGTAAGGAAAGAGGAAGCACAGCTAACAGTTCCGCTGCAAAACCAGAAAATAAACTGGTCTCTGTCTGTGGTACCCAGAGCAAGCAGGAGTCCAGCTTGGCAAGCATTAGCAAACTGGAAGAAACAGATGTCAGTAGTAAAACTCTAACCAATAAAAAAGACAAGGCTGGGAAATCCCACAAACATAAAAAGAAAAAGAAGCACAAAAAGTCCAGCAAGCACAAACGTAAACACAAGGAAGAAGCTGAAGAGAAAAGCCGAAAAACTGACATGAGGGAGGAGAAACCCAAGAAACGGAAAAAACACAAACACAAAAAAAGCAAATCGTCTCTTCCTTCTGAATCTGAGCGGGTGCTGAAACCTGACATGCCCGACGAGGGGGGCCATCTGCAGAAGAGAAAGCACTGCTTTCAGGACCCTCAGCGGAAACCACTCTCTGCCGAAGAGGGTACTAGTGGCAAAAAAGAGGACAGTGGTAACTCTTCCCAAGAGCACAGCAGCAAAAAACACAAGACTGACCTGCAGCAATCATCTTCTGCCTCAAAGAGGCGGTGTTCTGCTCCTTCTCTTGGCAGGTCCAGCTGTAGGAGCCGACAGAGTAGTGGGGACTATGACAGTGATGAAGGCTCTCACCGAAAAGACTTCCGACAGAAATCAGTGTCACAGTACAGTGATGATTATGACTCTGGTAGCGACCACTCCAGAAGCCGTTCCAGATCAGGGCGAAGACATTCTTCTCGCAGGTCCTCTCGAAGATCATACTCAACGAGTTCTGATGGCTCTTCAGACCACAGTAGGTATAGTCGCAGGAGAAGTTATTCAGATGATAGCTATAGTGACTACAGTGACAGATCAAGGTGTCATTCAAAGAGGTCTCATGACTCAGAGGATTCTGACTACAACAGCTCAAAACGCAGATCAAAAAGGCACAAGTACTCCTCCTCAGAAGATGACTACAGTCTAAGTAGAAGCAGGTCTAGAAGTCGGAGCAGGAGCCGAACCCACACTAGGGGAAGGTCGAGAACAAGAAGTCGGGGTAGAACACGGAGCAGCAGTTGCAGCCGCAGTCGAAGCAAGAGGAGAAGTCGGAGCATAACTGGCCGCAGTTGGAAACGAAGCCGGAGCTACAGCAGAGATCGCAGCCGGAGCACAAGAAGCCATTCAGAGAGATCTCTTTCAAGAAAGGGCTCTCGGGATCATGAGAGCCCTGAAGACAGGAGATCTGGGCGAAGAGACTTCATCAGATCCAAAATATATCGCTCGCAGTCTCCGCACTATTTCAGGGCAGGCCGAAGTGAAGGGGCTTTGAAAAAAGAGAGCAGAGGAGATGAAACAAAGGGAACTAGCTCTCTCCCCCAAAATAGCTGTAGCTCTGGCTTGGGGAAAGCTCCTGAAAGTGACTGTGGTCCAGAAGAAAAGAATTCAGTCACAGCAAAACTGCTACTAGAAAAGATTCAGTCCAGGAAGGTTGAAAAGAAGCCCAGTGCTAATGATGAAATGCTAACAGGGGCAAACAAGGTTGGGATAAAACTTAAAGATCCTCCACAGGGGTACTTTGGCCCTAAGCTTCCTCCCTCATTAGGCAACAAACCAGTTCTCCCTTTAATTGGGAAGCTCCCTACGATCCGAAAACCAAATGCCAAGAGGTATGAAGAGTTGGGAGTAGAGAGGGGTGAGGAACAGGAGCTGTCGGAGGCTGAGGAAGTTCCCCAGGGTAGCGGGGAGAGTCAGTTGGCAGGCCAGCCTCTGCTGGAGGAGGAGGTGGTGGTGTTGCTGCAGGACAAACCCCTGGAAGAACAGAAACCTGCTGAACCTGCTGTGGAAACACCACCAATTCCTCTTGAACCGCAGGCACTTCCCGAATGCTACAGTTCTGGAGAGCTCGTTATGCCGCACAGCTATCTCTCTGATCCCAATGATGGTGATGTATTAGAACCCGTGGAGAGTAGGAACCCACCTGTCCCTGTAGAAACCAGCATGATGCCTTTAGTTCCAGATGTTGAACACTTTCCTGGTTACGTGACTCAGAGTGGGGAGCCAAGCATTGACGGAGAGCCAGAAGGAGCAGAAGATTCCTCCCTGGCACCACTTGAGAGCCAACCAATCACTTTCACGCCTGAAGAAATGGAGAAGTACAGTAAGCTTCAGCAAGCAGCTCAGCAGCACATTCAGCAACAGCTTTTAGCAAAGCAAGTCAAAACCTTTCCTGCTTCAGCAGCGCTGGCCCCAGCAGCACCTGCTCTGCAACCTATCCACATTCAGCAGCCAGCAGCTGCAACATCCATCACCACTGTGCAGCATGCCATTCTGCAGCATCATGCCGCTGCGGCTGCTGCAGCCATCGGAATTCACCCCCACCCTCACCCCCAGCCTCTTGCTCAGGTTCATCATATACCCCAGCCCCACTTGACACCCATTTCATTGTCCCATTTAACCCACTCTATTCTTCCAGGGCACCCTGCTACATTTCTAGCCAGCCATCCCATACATATCATTCCTGCGTCTGCTCTCCATCCAGGTCCCTTTACCTTTCACCCTGTTCACCATGCTGCTCTTTATCCCACGCTTCTTGCCCCTCGACCTGCTGCTGCTGCAGCTGCTACAGCTTTACATCTGCATCCCTTGCTCCACCCCATTTTCTCAGGTCAGGACTTGCAGCACCCTCCCAGCCATGGCACCTGAAGAGATGGTAACTCCGCCTCGGAGCGGAGACGTGCACGTTTCGAAAAGTCGGGTGACGGTGATCCAGCAGACAGGTGAGGCCTGAGAATTTCCTTTCACTCCTAACAGCCATGGAAGTGGGGTCTGGCTTGAAGGCCATAGAGATGGTGCAGCGGTTCTGTTTTGTGCGTGTTGTGTGCATTTGTTTACTATTAGGGATTTTCTCACGTTTCCCCATCTGAGAGAACATATTCATGTAGCACCATCATGGCCCAGATGAATCATCTCAAATTCAGACAGACAAGATGCTTTGTGAAGCGCTTTTTTTCCTGTATTCTTACGTCTTTATTCATCTTCCTTCTGCTCTCTTGTACATTACACAGTGTTTCATACTCTGGCTAATGGCTCTCTCTCTCTCTCTCTCTCAAATCCTTGTAATGAGGTCATCTAATTAAAATGGTCTACATGATTGAATCCTGGTTGTAATCAGTGATGCTGCATGCATAAAACATATAATAACTGACAGCTGTGTCCCGCCAAGGGGACTTTGCTGGAAGGGCATAGCCACTCTTGGTTTTGCTGGGGCAGTGACCAGTTAGCAGACATTGCAGAAGAGTTTTTGGTACCTGATGTCACATACCCCACTGTCTGACGTAAGCAGTGAAGGTGGAAATAAGATTTAATTTTAAAGCTTTACTGAACAAAAGAGCTAACTGTGTTCAAAGCTTGGGCACTTCTCCATCATGCGTTAACATTCTGCTCCCAGGTGAGGATTGTGTGGTGAAGCCTTTTGTGTGAAACAGAGAGGTGTTCTTAGATTGCTGGCTTGTGACTTTGGTCTAGGCTTTGACCACTGTACTATTGAGAGAGATCTTTCATACTCCGATCTCCCGAAGTGTTGTAAAAAGGAGGCATTTGAGAATGAAAAGAAAATCCCTTCCTGAGTTGAAGCAATACGGAGGACTGGAACCCAATAACAATCTGGAGAAATTAACCAGAATATGTAAAGTGTATTCTTTCCTCTGTAATATTGATGTTTGTTTATTAATTTATAGGATTTTTTTAAATGTAAAGACTTGCACTGAACTCTGTAAACGTAAAAATGCTGCTTTTTGTAGCTCATATAAGAAAGGTTACACACTTGTAGTATACTGCAATGATATTTTTTACAGCCCGTTCTTTTAGTGGTACTTGTTCTGGTGGCTTTTGTGTAAATATGTTTGCTGTAGTTGAAATAAAACACTTGTAAAGGTTAAACTAATCGTTTCAGCTAGATATAAAATGACTAAGCATGTATATTTTATCAAGCTCATGTATTTTTGGAGTTTTTATGTACTATAAAATGTAAAAAAAAAATCTTCATTTAGCATTTTGCAGAAGAAAAATGTGAGATTTGGAATAAATGCGGTGCATTGAAGACACTGATGACTCTAACAGCTAATGAATTGTATCACGTTGGAAGGTCACGACTGCTGGATTTGTAAAATGCTGTACAGATGGAAGCAACATAGGCATATATTGCATGCTTGTGGTCTGGAGCTAAGCTGCCAGCTTCATAGGAACCTGACCCTGATGGCAGATTCAGGAGGGTCAGGAAATTGGGTTAAGTCCCATACAGAACAAAATGCCCATGTTTATTCCTGGGTTTGAACCACTGACTTGCAGATGTCACCCTAGCTACTCGTCAGGCACAAGTCCACTATTCCAATGATAAAAGAACTGTTGGCTTTAAAATGTGCCTTTTTATTTTGAGAGCGAGGTTTTTTGGCTGATCACTAATTAATTCAGACTCCTTCCACCGGTGACATTTTTCTGAAGGGATTTGTTCACATATCAGCCCCATAACTTTAGAGAATACTAACTCTGGAAGTTCTGTCCCTCCACTGAATAGCTGTTCCCATTGCATCAGCCCTAAAACAGGAGCTCCTCTCCTGCTTGGTTTGGAGGAGTTAAAGTCCAGTCTCTGGTTTAGTGCATTTTTCAAACGTGTGAGAGTATGGAGCCCTGCACAGTTTACAGTAACTCCCTTGTGGTCTAGATTGGAAACATGGCCAGATTCCATGCTCTGTGCTGTCAGACCCAGGCCAAGACAGGCCTGCTCTGAGATGAAGCAATGGGCATGGCTACAAGCATAACTAGCGTTCCTGTTCTTCCCTTTCCTCTCCACACCCCCTGAACACTGTACAACTGAGAAATCTGGGGTGAAAATTCGAAGGGTTTGAAGCCCTGAGATTCCTCGCTATTTAAAATAGAGAAATTTGCATTTTGAACAAATAGCACTGAAAAAAATCACCTGTTAGAATAAAGGGACTCAATTTATTGTAAATATTTAAGATATGGACGGAATTAATGTTTCAGTGCGGAGCTTCATGAGCTTTGAGATTCAGTGTGTGTGTTCTGGCACCCGGCACTGCAGTGGGGGGAGAGGGTTGACTTCCAGAATAGTGCTAAAAATTAACCTAACCAGCATAAACATACTGTATTTAACTTTGACACACACACACACACACACGTGTGTGTGTCTGTATGTTGTGAAATGAGGGAAAAGAAACTTTCTAATAAACCAATGATTTGTGGAAAAATGGTGTAGTTCTTCCCAAAAACACAAGACAAGCTCTTGCAACTGGTGGTTAATCTTAGTAGTGGCATAGCACATTCATTGTTTTCCTAAAGGAAAGATCCTCTCAGGCCAAGCAGAATTGACTCTTCCAACAAGGACATTTTTTTTTTTTAAGTTTTGTAGATTTTTAGTTAATTGGAAACTTTAGTCAAAATAAAGTTTCAGCCAGATACACTTGAGTTTTCTGACCACCTCAGGTACTGGTGACAGAGGACCGTCAAGGTGTTCTGAAATCTGATTTCCTCAATCAACAGGACAGGTACAGCAAGATTCCATCAGGCTGTGGCAACCCTGTCATGGAGAAACCAGCTCTGAAGCAGAAAGCAGAGTTTGGTCTCTGTGACTCTGAAATTGTCAAAAGATCTTGCCATTTCCTGTGCTGGTTTTAGGAACTGGAGTTAGTGACACATGTGCAGTGAGTTTCTGATCTAACCCCCATGAAACTAGAACAGTTTTCCCTTACCAAGGACTTGGGTGCGATTGGAACTAGCAGTTTAGAGATGGAATGACTCTACACCTTAGCACACTTCATCTCAGCCCTCCAAGCTTCTTAGCTCTGTTTGATTGTCCTTATATTATTTTGGCTTTTATCTGTGTAATCTGGGAAATCTCAGGCCCCTTTCTCCATCTCGTGGCTGGCTGCTTTGCCTGTCTTGCCAGGCTTTTGCAAGCCTGACTCATTAAACAGGAATCTGCTTAGCTTGGATTGTGCTCTCAACCTTAATCCACACTTGGTTTGGTTAAAGGTGACGTACAAAAGAAACGGGGGGTGCTGTCCTTTCTGGCTCTTTTGTTTTATAAAGAGCTAAAAGTTTGGGGTTTTCCTGTTACATTTCATGAGAATTTCAGGTTTTGAGGCCCAGACTCTGTAGATGAGTGGGTAAGCAGTGCGCTGGCATCTCAAGAGATGGAAACGGAGACGTTGGGGGTGGAATTTGGGTTGTCTTTTTGCATTCTCAGTCTTCTGGATTTCAGCTGTTTTAAAGGTTCATGGCAACAGAGCAGTACTGAGACCATTGCTACTAAGAACGGCTGGGTCATGTAAAGACCTGTCTTCTAGTGCTCGCTGTTAAGTGAGCACAAGCGTTTCCTCCTGTGTTTGTAAACGTGGTCTCTGGCCTCCTGGCATCTGGGGCTCTTAACAGGCCACATTTATGTATAAATTACACATGCAGAAATATCTCAGCTGTAGTCTCCAATATGCTGGTCTGAGCCTTGCCTCCAGAGTTTTAGCTGCTGCTTTCCCAACTCCAGCTGCTCTAATCTTTTCCCAGAGTGTAACACAGCCATCCTTTCCCTGCCTTGCCAGCAATGCGTTTGTGTCTGGTCTGTAGAGATGGGGAGGTGGAGGATAAAAAGCCCAAACTGATCATTCCTTAATCAAAGACGTTGCTTTCTTTAGGCCTTCAGCAGCACCCATTTCTTAGTACATTAGGCTTCAAGGAGAGAACTGGATCTTTTGAAAATGCCCCTCACGGTCACATCCTCCACCAGGCTGCGCTGGCTCTAAATTACAGCCATTAGGTGCTGGAAGCTTGTGGAAGGCTTGAGCCAGCTGCCATGAGGTGGCAGGCAAAGCTTAGATTAGGAAGCAGAGGCTGCAAATGAAAGTCCTAGGTTCCCTCCTCTGAATCATAGAATATCAGGGTTGGAAGGGACCCCAGAAGGTCATCTAGTCCAGCCCCCTGCTCGAAGCAGGACCAATTCCCTTCCCTCTGGGAAGGGAGAATCAGCCACAGGTCACTGCTTTGTGCTGTGCAAGTTGTCTTCAGGCTCTCTGCGTTAGTTCAGTGCCCAGACTCGTTGGACTCAGATGAGAGCATGGAGATCAGATGCCAAATTTTTAATGTGGCTAAATGCAGTTTAGAAAGGTGGAAATTCCTCTAATGGGTTGCTTGTTTGGAGAAATGTACTTGGTTTTTAATTCCTGCTATACTGGGAAGTTGGCGATGGCCTAGTGTATCCAAAATGTCTAATCCGGATCAGGCTTCAAGAGGAGCATGTTCAGTCCTTCCCCCACTCTAGAACATGGGCGGCTATGGCTGATGTCTTCAGCAGCTGGACAAGGAATGAGGCACACTGGCTTGGCCTTACTCCGCAACACACTTTCTGGGTGAGAAGAAAAGGAGTACTTGTGGCACCTTAGAGACTAACCAATTTATTTGAGCATAAGCTTATTTGAGCTTTTCTTTTTGCGAATACAGACTAACACGGCTGTTACTCTGAAACCTGTCATTATTTCTGGGTGAGGGGAGTCCTGCAGTTCCAGACCTTTATCACAACCCCAGTTTCAGTAGAAATTTACCATGATCCTACACAACCCTGGCCTTTCACATCATCTTTGTGCCTAGTGTGCAGAGGGCAACCTTTCAAACCGTTTGGGAAGGGTCCTTCCCCGCATAGAATCCTAGAATATCAGAGTTGGAAGGGACCTCAGGAGATCATCTAGTCCACCCCCCTGCTCAAAGCAGGCACAATCCCCAATTTTTTTTTATTTTTTTATTTTTTTTGCCCCAGATCCCTAAATGGCCCCCTCAAGGATTGAACTCACAACCCTGGGTTTAGCAGGCCAACGCTCAAACTATTGAGCTATCCCCCTGAGTGCATTCAATTGATGACCAGGGATTTCCATCTTGATGAGCAAGTGACCATGCAAGCGGTCTGTCTGTAGGGGAGAGGTCTCTTGCAACATGTTCACACTTGCAATCATTACCTCCCACAGACTCGTAGTGTAATTAAGCTCCAGCAGGTGCCAGATCCAGAGGGGGTGGGATGGAAGAGGGTGCAAACAAGTGTGATTTCCTTTATCTAGTCCACAAGGGTGGTTTGGGAGTGGCACGGCTGCATGGCACCTGCAAGGCCATGATTTCCAGATCATCTTGGCTGTTAGCAATAGTTCCTCTCGTCTTCCTCAAATCGGAGGGCACAGTTTCCAAGGTCCATTGCTTATCTCAGGCTTTATCTGCCCATTCTTTCAGGGAATTTCTAGAGTCTCTAGACCAGTGTTTTTTAACCTCTGGGCCCTGGGGATCCACAGACTAAGATGTCTAAAGGGGTCCATGCTTCCAGTCAAAAATGTTTAGGGGTCCACAAATGAAAATGGTTGAAAACCTCTGCTCTAGACCATGCTTGCCGGCTGTCCTACAGAGTTTACGGCCCTTGGGGATGAATAGTTGCTCATTGCCGTGAAAGGAGCAACGTGCAAGAAGTCCAGGAGAAATGGTTGGAAATGAACACCGAAGAGAGACTGTAGCTTCCTTCCAGGTAGCAGCACGGGTGGGGAGTGTTGCGGCCACCCACAACCAGGTACTACTTAAAGCACCTATTTTCCTGCCCTAGGACTGTCAGTTCCCCCACCCATCCCTCATGGCTGCTGTTTCTCGCTGTGAGCAGAGCCATCCCTTCCACTTTTCTCGGTTGTGGTTTGTGGCTGAGAAGTGCTCTGTCCCGGTCAGGCCCTGCAGTGTTAGGGTGGCCCGCAGCCTTTCTCACGGTTGCTGCTAGTCTCTATCTTGTGTATCTAAGTGTGCATCTTCTCATTTAAAAGCCATTCTCCAGGGGGTATTGGTGAGGGACTCCAGCTGGGATTCAGCACACTGCTCTGATTTCACGGCCACACCAACAAAACCATCCAAGAGAACTTGTTTCTCCACAGCTTTCTCACCCATCTCCTCTTCGCTTCCTGCAACCTTCCCACGGTGCCAGTACGTCACAATCAAATACTACCTGGGCTGTATCTTCCTTGTGCACATTCTTCATGTGCATCCCCTTCTCCCTGCCGCTCTGGTCCACTGTACGCAG